ATACACATAAGCATATACCTTGAAGAACATCTAAATAAATCGGTGTTGATCTGTCATAATGTCTTACCATTTTCTGCAAGTGCTTTCTCTCATTTTCGAGTAATACATCCTGGATTAAGCTAGAACCTCTCAAAATAATCCCTTTACTTTTAGACACTTTAAAGGGAAATACTATTATAAACTAGTAAAACTTTGCACTATATATAACTGATCAGGCAAATGCCATAAGACAGAGCACTGTAAAACAGATAACTTCAAAGAATTCCATTCAATTTAATTGTCTTACCTAGAGAAACCATATAAGGCAGAAATTAAAAAGGAACTTCTACACAGAAACTAAACTTCTGCTTCTGCCTTGGGCCTTACAATGTACTGACTATGGACTATAGTTGTCCCAGGGGTCTGTGCACAGAACTCCAAATTAGGAATCTGTTCTACATCATCTTGGCAAGTGGGGACCCCTCTAGATACACTTGCTCCAGACCAGCTTCTGCTTAGTTCACACAGATTCTTCTTCTCTATATCCAGGATTCTTTTCTTTCTTTTTTTTCCTAGTTGTTTAGATCAATATTTTTTTTTGAGAAGGCAGAAAATGTAAGGTAAGAAATTATCTTATTAACAGATAAGAAGCATGATCTACTTAAGAAGTTTACTGTCTTTTCATTATTTAAGAAAGAATACTTAATAATTATTACTTTCCTGATTTAAAGGAACAGAAGAAAGGAAAAATTAGACATGTATGTGTAAAACAAAGAATTGTTTATTTGAATGATGCATTAGTTATTCTAATTGATTTTGCTTTATAGAGGGAAAGTGAGTTACATCATTTTATTTTTAGGAGGTAATAACTTACTCTTAATTTTAAAAATAAAAAGAATATTGCATCCCTGTATTGTGATACTCCACTGAAGTACATGTTCCCCCAGGTGGAGGTTGTATCATTATATTTCAGTATGGTCTATAATGCTATGCTCATAATAAAAAGTAAATAAATGCTAATTGAATGAACAAATGAAGTATTGTATTAAAAGAATAGGTTTGACTGTTCTGATATAATAAAATAGTAAAGAAATGCACTTTTATAGGAGGTTTGCAAAGTGTGTTAAATGGCTGCCTGAATAGGAGTTGCGCATTCCCATGGAAGAAACACCCACATTTACATCAAAATATTGGATATTTCAGTTATAAATCAAATGACTGGGAAAAACATTTATAAAAACAATATTTCTCTTCATATGTGTTTTATTTTATTAATTAATTTGTTTACATACACCTTGTCTTGTTTCACAACAAATTCAGCACAGGAAATTCTAAATCCAGAGATAAGATTTACGCATTGAAATGCATGCCTTATATGCTGCTTAGTTGCATGGTTCACATTTGAGGATCTCATACTGTGAAACCACTGAATGAAAGGAGCTATTTTATCACTAAATTATAGCCCATTTGCAAACCATTTCTCACCTGTAGCATTACTTTTCTAACCAGCTATTTATCAAATTTGTGGTTAGTTATTCTTACATAAGATGGCATGATAGGAACAGCTGAAAACAAATACACATACAGGTGTTTATGTTACTCAGATGATAATGTAAGACCCCTGGATGCTGCCTTCTCATAAATTAATATTTGGGAGTCCCCTTGTTAATTTCCTACTCTACTAACCAAGTCAGTTTTGAAAGGGATATGTGGAAAAGGAAATGCTTAGCCATTGCTGTTACTTGTAAATTACTACAAGTGCACTGGAGATCAATTCAATGATAATTAGTAAAGATGAAGTTCTTCATACCCCATAAGCCAGCATTTTTGTTTCCAGATATATACCTTCAAAAGACGGCTACCCATGTGCATAAGAACCATTGCCTTTCAAATGGAAATAATCTAAATGTCCATTAAGAGGGTAAAGACCAAAAAGCCTATTTATTATATCCATAAAATGTTATAACAGGCAGTAGATGAAAACAACTGTAATTTTATGCATTATCAGAAATTCTTAAAACTGTAATTTCAAGTGAATAGAATTTTTTTTAGAATTTTGCCTGAATTGTAGTTATATAAATCACGAAAAACAAATGATATTCTCTCATGCCATATATGCTTGATTATATATGGACACATATTTATACATTTATGTATATGTATATATTATTTTAATATCACCTAATTTTATAGTAAAACCCAAGGCAGAATAACCAAAAAGCTATTTAAAAATTCCTAAAACTAGTTCATCCCAGCCTTTGGTCGTTAGCCCCGCCCCCAGACCTGTATGCTAACATCTTACTCCAGTCTCCATCTTTTCCCCAGAGTATGCCATCTGGAACACATTGCCGTTTTTTTGGTTTGCTATAACAGAGCCTTTCTGTCACTATATATATTTAAATAAATTAATAATCTCTTCCTTTGTACTAACAGAGGCTATATTGATAAGCCTTTTCAGTCATGAAAATTTAAGTCAAATATCTAACTGTTAAGTAATTAAACAATAAAGATAATTCTGAATAACGAACAGAAATAGCTGTGACTTTTCCTATCAAAAGGCCACGGGCAGCGGCAATTGTGGTGAGACGATGATGCAATTGTTTTATATTTGCCGTTGGCTAACACAGAAGACAGCGAGAATAAAGAGGCCCTTCTTTCAGGAGGGACAAGGGCAGGCAAGGCAGAACACCCCGAGTACTGGGAGCACTGAGCAGCAGAGCAGAGGCTCAGGAGAGAGGGCTTGTGGGAGCTGTCTGCGAAGGGGCAGGCCCACTGACCTGTGTGTGCTGATGCTCATTGGTAAATCTTGTTTTGCGGGTTGCATTTCCACTATGTTATCTTCAAGCCTTGCGTTATGTCTGTCAGACACACTCACCTTGTGTTCTATATTCCCTAGAGTCAAGGGAGAAGACAGAAAGCTGCAACCGGATGGCAAAGTGAAAGTGATACTGACGCTGCTTGAAAAAGTCAACGGCTTCGTAGTGCAGAGCTGAGGATGCTGTAACCATGTTGAGTAGTAAAAGGTAGTCCTGGTTCTCCCGTGGAGGCAGGAGGTGTTAGGAGAAGAGGACTAAGAATAATGTGAAGGTAAAGGGCAGGAGCAACACCGGCTCCGAGAGGAGGTGGGGCCCGCTCCTGGAGCAAGATCGCCTGGCTGGTGGAGGATGGGCTAGCCGAACTCCTGAACATCCTAGAGGTCTATCAAGGAGTGTTTGTGAGCCTTTTTTCGAGAAGAGGGTGGGGATAGGAAAGATGAAATCTCAGGCTGGTATTTTCTGGGCCTTTTGCAGAACAGAGGGAGAAAGCATGAAGGAGGAAACGGAAAGTGCCTAAACTTTACCAAATTAGTTGGCCTGGAAAACCTGCCTAGCAGGTTAAATATTCAAGGATTCCATCAGTCAGTTATATGGCCAGTCCAAATAGATACCTGGTTGGCTTTGTATAGGTCAAAATATGTGTTTAATTCACTTATATTTTTATTTTTTTATTTCAAAATTGGTGCTCTACTGTAGAAAGTCAAAATTAACTGATTCATTTAAAACCATAATTTTAAATACCAGATTTGATAGTGTTGATAACTTAGTTTATTTAGAATAAAGTGTTTCTAATGCCCATAACAAACATTAAGAAATTTAGCAAACATATAATTTAATTTAAAAATACTAATCATGTTGCCCTAGCCAGGTGGCTCTGTTGTTTGGAGGATCCTCCCATAAACCAAAATGTTGCGGGTTTGATCCCCAGTCAGGGCACATACCTATGTTGCAGTTGATCCCGGTCACCCTGTTGGGGTGCATAAGAGGGGCACCAATTGATGTTTCTCTCTCACATCAGTGTTTCTGTCTTCTCTCTCTCTCTTTCTTCCTTCCTTGCTCTAAAAAAAATCAATAAACATATTCTGGAATGAGGATTTAAAAAAATACTAATCATGTTTATACACCATTTCTGCAACTCAAATAATGGGAGCTCTTTTTAATCACAAACAGTGTAAAACAGCAGTAATAAAAAGAAATCTCTCTTTGTCAAATAAGAAGAACCTAAACTTTGGCTATCTTCAACATATGAGGCCAAAATTATAATTTTTTGTCGCTCTTTATGCCTTCTCAGTCCACTATTTTTAGAAGTATCAGTGTTGCTGATAATGCAGTATATCCTGCAAGTTCAACCTTTGCAAATTGTGCCACCCAGGGCAATTGACTTGTTGAGCAAAATCTCCATGGTGACCTAGCCAGCTGCACTTAGAAATGTGAGCTGTCTACTCAAGGTTACAGTGCTTTTTTCCCCTCTGTGTATTGTATAATGCAGTTAAATATCACCTGTATGTTTCAATGAACTACAAGGTTATTGAAGGTTTGTATTTTCAAATGCCTCTAATTCATCAAATCAATTAAAAAGGAAAATAAAGATTTATTTATGTACATAAATATTAGGGAATACATCTTCTTTTTATTGGTTTGTTTTTGGGGGAGAGAGTAGGTAGAAATCTTGAGAGAAAATAAGAAAGTTGGTGTTCACATATTTTCATCATATAAAAAATTGTTATTTAGAACTGTCAGGAACTTACACATGATGGAATATTTTATCATAGATTCTGCATGGAAGAATTCTAGAAACTGGAAAAATAAAATAATTCTAATATATAGTGAATATAAAAAATATATATGTTCCAAGAAATACAAAAACAACTAAGTGGAAACAAGATTTTTAAAATGAGTGTAATATAATTTCTTTTCTGGTTTTTATTATTTTCAAATTGTTCCTCAGCCATCAAGTGGTATGATGGTTTCTAACAGTATATACCTTAGGTGGTAGCTTCATCTTCCCCTGGTGTCCACAGTGATAAAGTACGGCACTCTGGAAGCGGAGCGAGGCACTCCCTTCCTCTGTTATTTGTAAGCTCACATGAAGTAGGAAGATACCTTCTGAAGTTTTACTCATGCTGTGTTTTCTCTCCTGGCTGCAACAAGAAAAGCATTTTCTTTTAACCTGGCTGTCTTTGAAGAAGTGACTCAGAAGTCTTCATGGCCTCTAAAGGTAAGAGTAAATATAGCCAACTAATAATTTTTTCTTTATAGTATGACTAAAAATACAGAGTTGTAGGGGTATTAAAATCAATGAGATTGATACTTGAAGACCTGTCATTTGTCTCTTTTGAGCACTGGAATTTAAAAATTTTTAAACTCCAAGGAGCATGCTGCATTAAATTAAAAAAAAAAACACTTTGATGAAATGTAAAAGTTAAGCTGTAAACAATGTTTTAGTTATCATAAATATAAACATAGTGAGTTAACAGGAAAAGCTGCAGAGCAAAATTTAAAATGGGAATATTTAATGCCAAATACAAGGACAGGTTGATCTTCCAAGTTTAAAGAGATTTGAAGAAAACTTTTCATACATAAGTTAAAAAGTTTTTTTAAATTTTCCATTTGTTTGATGCAGCCATTTATTGTAATGAATTCGACATTTGTTATTGGCTAATCCTAAAATCTTAATGGACTACAAATAAATATTTCTGAACTATGAAGTAAAAATCTTTCAAAATTTCCTTGATAGTAAATTATATATGTGAACAGAAAATAACTAAATTAAGCAAACAGATTAGGCACTGGGGCAGAGAGGCACTGGTAAGTCTTTCCTCAAATCGCTAAAACAGTATAACTATCATTACTGTTGTCTTACTTTTCTTACTCTAAAGAATTTCTCAAAAAGACAAGAGTTGTGGTTGTTTCTTAGGGTAATGGTTTGCAATGTTACTAAAAATATGTGTGCAATTACATAAAAATGAAATTATAATGTATTTTCATTTCATTATCAGAGTAAGTCATTAAACTCTAAGCTCTAATGAAAAGTTTTATCATAAAGAATTATGATTAGTATAATTGATAGAAAACTAACCTAATTACAAATAGGAAAACAGAATCCACCAATTTAAAATATCCTAAATTAAATTAATGATCCATTCAAAGAAAAGCATATGCTAATTTGCTTCTTTTATCCAAATATACTTTGGGTGCTATATAATATAAAACAAACAAGGTAACTTTCCACTTTTTGTCAACATTTCATGTACACCAGGCCCTGAGTATCATTGGGAAATTTCAAACAAATTGTAAAGCAGACATGAGGCATCAAAATCATTGATTTTAATATGTGCTTCAGTTTTATACTGAAGACAAACAAAAATATCTTGACAAATATTTTAAATTTAAGCTTGACACTAACACTTAGTTCAAAACACTTCATCACTTTATAAAATAAGAGTTACAGAACAACTGTAGCCTGTAAGGTAAAGACTTGCAGAGTACTTGAAATATTTATAAGCTAGTTATACATTTTTAAAATAGTAGATAGAAATTCAAAGCCAGATGGAAATTCAAAGGAGTTCCTTCTTTATCTGGTAGTCTGAGTCTTTAAAGAAACTTGTGACTAGAAAGCAATACTATGATCAAAATGTGATTAATCTACCAAAAAAGCATTGATGCTTATTAATGATGTGTTCAACACTGAACTTTGAGGTAAAACTTCAGGTAGAAAACTAACACTCCTTCTGCATCCTACTCAAAATAACATGTGAAGTGGGTAAAACATCTGTTAGAGACCCTATACAACTTAAAAGGATTAAAAATGAAGCTTCCTTTTGAATTAGAAATCATGTTTGAGGGGGCAAGTAGGATTATCATCATTATTTACATAAACATTTTTGTGCACAATTTTCTTTAGATATATTTAAAGACATTATTTATAACATTATGAATATTCTCTGGCCCATTAAACTATATTGGCAATGATCATTTTCCCAGGTAGTACAGGCTTAGTGGACATTTCACACATTTTGTAGGCAATTCAATTGACCACTAAACTGAAGGGTAGTCTGAATACTGGATGCCATTAGAACTGAAGAAATATTTGTGTGGTCTGAAGTTCCCTGGTTTAGTGTAAATAAACACAATTTAAGAACAGGTTGGTATAAAACTTTGTTTTAAGTTTGACAAAAGCAGGAGATTCCAGGAACAAGAGCTATTTCTAAAGGGTGCTTCAATGTGAACTGAAATCCCAAATGAGGAAGCAAGTGATCTCAGAATAGGGATCCCAACAGTCTTCACCTACTGAAACTACTCATGAATAAAAACTTTGGACATGATCTGGCCTGGGCCCCAAATGCATTAATGCCTCTGGACCTGCCATGAGGTCTAAGAGCCTATAGATCTGGGTCAGGACTGTAGAGCCACTTGCCAGGCACTGAACCACCTACTGTATCTTGTTAGAGCACACCCAGTTTACATGATAAAATTCGAGTAATTCACTAATCTTTTTAATAATAAAATTGACAAGGAGAGACACCCAAATATTAATTGAAGGATAATATGTGAAGTGTAAAGTGCATAATGAGCATCCAGTTTAAGCTCTATAATTTTAAAATAAGGATGCACTTGTGTAACTACCACCGAGATTGAGATACAGAACGTCTCTGGAACCTCGTAAAGTTCCCTTTCCAGTCAATAACCATGTTCCTCCACTCCCAAACAGAAGCCTATTCTGAATTTTATCATCATGAACTAATTTTCCCTAGATCACAATTTTGCCTGTATGTTTTTCTGAAAGTCAATGACAACAGTGTGTTTGGCACTAATGCTGGAGAAAAGATGCCTGTTGCCTGTTACTATTTTTCAGTTCTTATTGTCACACTGGCCATTAGCTCCTCTGCTAAATCTGATGAAGTACCACATAGTCTCCCTCTCAGGTTACTGTTTGGGGTCCCATTCAGGCTCCTCAAGAGCAAGAGGAGTTAGTTCTAAAGCCTACATCTCCTGCGTCTTCCCTGGTCTGAGAGCAGCTCAGGATGGGGTCCTTGTGGGAAGCAGTCTGCTATGTTATGGATATGGAGATCTATTTTAGTAGGGCCAGATGACAGGTTTGTTTCCATGTGGTCCTAACCCTGAAGCTTGTCCAAATTCCAAATGCCATAGAGCAGTACAAACGGCCATTTTTCTTCATCTATTCCTGCTCTCTTAAGCGAATAAGCCAGGGAGCGAAAGACAAATACCATATGATCTCACCTATAAGTGGAACCTAACCAACAATACAAAGATGCAAGGAAAATAAGACCAGCAACACTGAAAGGAAAAGAAATCAACAGAGACAAGAGGGAAGGAGGGAGGGGGGCGGGGAAAAGGAAGGGAAGAGGCAAGTCAAGGAACATATAGCAAGGACAAAACCAAAGGGGAAGAGCTGAGGGAGGGAAGGAGGGAGGGGGCAAGGGAAAGTGGTGGGGGGTAGGCAGAGACAAATGTATTTGGAAAAAAAGATTAAATAAAGGAATCATTTGCTATTGTTCTTCATTAATGCCACAACTACACACAGCCTTAATGAGCCTACTATTACTAGAAAGAGTTTGTCATTGTCCAAAGGACCATTCCTTTGATGCCTATGTTCCTTCAATGATTTTGTTTCTTTTTTGTTTGTTTGTTTGTTTGTTTTTTAATCCACATCTAAGTGCTCGTCCTGGCTATATCTGAATTCTCTTAATAATGGGGAACTTACTATCTACAAAGACAACTCAATACTTTTCCAAATTTATTTTTAGCAATTTAAAAGATTCAGAAGGATACCTTCTCACACAAATACACACAATTTACATTAATCTGAACATCAGTGTTGAAGAGAGACTTCTAATTTATTGTGTATTATACAGATGTCATTCTAAATTTAGTATATGTATGAGAGTACTTATTCAAATATGTGTGCAACTGTTATAAGTTCCTTTTTACAGTAAATCAGAACTATTATCCGTGTCTTTCCCACTAACCTGTCTTTAGAATAGTCTGAAGTATTTGTCTTTATTTTGGCTGCTCTAATATTTGAAAATATTGTCATGAAACTTAATCCACAGCTACACTCATTCTAAAACTGCAGTATTGATAAACTAAATGAAGGCACACTAAGAATTTTTTAATCAAGGAATTAATAAAGATGAGAAGTAAAAAAACACTGGTAGTCTTGGAAAAAAACCTAGTATCTATAAAGGGAGGTATCTAAATGGCAGTCATATGAGAAGAAAAAGGAAAAATGATAGTAGAAAGAATAATTTATATTCTTTAACAAAGAAGTATGCTTTTGCTTGCACATTTATTAGGGTTATTTTACACAAGCTCCAGACTAATACACAGTAAATAGCAAATCTCCAAATTTCAATCTAAAAGGTCATGGAAACAGTAATATTTTTACCTGGCAATAGCATAGAAAACAGGTGATTCTCTTTTGAAAAAGCCAAACATTATAGAAATCTGTAATTATTTTACCTTTTGTAGGTTTTGGTCAGCTACAAAGGAATTCATATGGTCAAATAAATTTTTTAATGCTTTTCTACCAAATGTTGAGAAATCCAAGCTAAATTAGATATATTGCCCTTAAGAAGTTCATAAAATAGTTATAAATATTCTCATAGTATATAGAACTAAACCATTAATTCTCAAGTTATACCATCAGACTAATAGCATTAACTTAACTGGGAATTTACTAGAAATGCAAATTGTCAAGCTCCACCCCCATGTCAGCTATTAAACCATAAACTCTCAGGGATGGGCCTAGAAATCTTGCTTTGACAAGCTCTCCAGATGGTACTGAAGCAGGATGATGAATAAGAATCACTGAATTAAACCTAGTCATAACAATATAATTGATAATTATACAAAATATTCTTGAATTGGAGAAACAACAACAAATAAATCCCAGAGCAAGGAGAAGGAAGGAAATAGTCAAGATTAGAGCAGAACTGAATGACATAGAGACGAAAAGAACAATTCAGAGGATCAACCAATCCAGAAGCTGGTTCTTTGAAAAGATAAATAAAATTGACAAGCCTTTAAGCAGACTCATCAAGAAAAAAAGGGAGAGGACCCAAATTAATAATATCAGAAATGAAAGAGGAGAAATAACAACTGATACCACAGAAATACAAAGGATTGTCAGAAACTACTATGAACAATTATATGCCAAGAAATTTGAAAGCCTTGATGAAATGGACAAATTTTTAGAAAAGTATAATCTTCTAACACTGAAGGAGGAAGAAACAGAAAGCTTGAACAGACCGATAACAGCTGGGGAAATGGAAGCAGTCATCAAGAAACTCCCGGCACACAAAAGCCCAGGGCCGGATGGTTTCCCAGGAGAATTTTACAAAACATTTAAGGAAGAGCTAACCCCTGTCCTTCTCAGACTATTCCAAAAAATCCAAGAGGAGGGAAGACTCCCAGACTCCTTTTATGAGGCCAGCATCACCCTGATCCCAAAACCAGATAAAGACCCTACAAAGAAAGAAAACTACAGGCCAATTTCACTGATGAACATAGATGCCAAAATCCTCAACAAAATATTGGCAAACCGCATCCAGCAATACATTAAAAAGATTATCCACCATGATCAAGTGGGATTCTTCCCAGAGATGCAGGGATGGTTCAATATACACAAGTCAATAAACGTAATACATCACATAAATAAAAGAAAAGACGAACACCACATGATCATCTCGATAGATGCAGAGAAATCATTCGATAAGGTACAGCACCCAATTATAATCAAAATACTCAGCAAAATGGGAATAAATGGGGCATTCCTCAACGTAATAAAGGCCATATACGAAAAACCAAACAGCCAACATCATACTCAACGGGCAAAAACTAAAGGCTTTCCCACTAAGATCGGGAACACGACAAGGATGTCTGCTTTCACCACTTCTTTTCAACATCGTATTGGAAGTCCTAGCCACGGTCAGACAAGAAAATGAAATAAAAGGCATCCAAATAGGAAAGGAGGAAGTAAAGCTACCATTGTTTGCAGATGACATGATAGTGTACATAGAAAACCCTGTAGACTCTACAAAAAAACTCCTCAACCTAATAAGTGAATTTGGCAAAACAGCAGGATACAAACACAATATTCAGAAATCAAAGGCATTTCTGTACACCAGCAATGAAATAGAAGAAGAAGAAATCAGAAATAAAATACCATTTGATATAGCAACAAGAAAAATAAAGTACCTAGGAATAAATTTAACCAAGGAGGTAAAAAACCTGTATGCAGAAAACTATACAACATTGAAGAAAGAAATTAAGGAAGACACAAATAAATGGAAGCATATACTGTGCTCATGGATTGGAAGAATTAATATCATCAAAATGTCCATACTACCCAAAGCAATTTATAGATTCAACGCAATCCCTATTAAGATACCAATGACGTATTTCACAGAAATAGAACAGACATTTCAAAAATTTATATGGAACCATAAATGACCCCACATAGCCTCAGCAATTTTGAGAAAGAAACACAAAGTAGGAGGGATCACAATACCGGACATCAAACTCTACTACAAAGCCACTATACTCAAAACAATCTGGTACTGGCACAAGAACAGACCCATAGACCAGTGGAACAGAATAGAAAGCCCAGAAATAAGCCCAGGTCTCTATGGGCATTTAATATTTGACAAAGGGGCAGAAGCACAAAATGGAGCAATAATAGCCTCTTCAACAAATGGTGTTGGGAGAGCTGGACGGCTACATGCAAAAAGTTGGAATTGACTCATCAGCTGACACCATACACGAAAATAAACTCAAGATGGATAAAAGACCTAAATATAAGTCGCAACACCATCAAAGTCCTAGAGGAGGCCATTGGCAGGAAACTCTCAGATATCCCACGCAGCAATTTTTTCACTGATATGTCTCCTAAAGTAAGGAACATAAAGGAAAGAATAAACAAGTGGGACCTCATCAAAATAAGAAGCTCCTGCACGGCTAAAGAAAACATCAGCAAAATGAAAAAGGAGCCAACCATATGGGAAAATATATTCGCTAATGATACATCAGATAGAGGTTTGATCTCCAAGATATATAAAGAACTCACTCGACTCCACTCCAAAAAGACAAACGATCCAATCAAAAAATGGGCAAAGGACCTGGGCAGACGCTTTTCCAAGGAGGAGATACAGAGGGCCTAGAGACATTTGAAAGGATGCTCAGCATCACTAGCCATCAGAGAAATGCAGATCAAAGCCACCATGAGGTACCACCTCACACCGGTCAGAATGGCCATCATGAACAGATCAACAAACAACAGGTGCTGGCGAGGCTGTGGAGAAAAGGGAACCCTAGTCCACTGTTGGTGGGAATGCAGACTGGTGCAGCCACTGTGGAAAGCAGTGTGGAATTTCCTCAAAAAGCTGAAAATGGAACTGCCTTTTGATCCAGTGATTCCCCTGCTGGGACTATACCCTAAGAATCCCAAAACGCCAATTCAAAAGAACCTATGCACCCCAATGTTCATAGCAGCACAATTTACAACAGCCAAGTGTTGGAAGCAACCTAAATGCCCATCAGTAGATGACTGGATCAAAAAACAGTGGTACATTTACACAATGGAATACTATGCAGCAGAAAAAAAAACTACTAAACCTCGCGACAGCATGGATGGAACTCAAGAGCATTATGCATTATGCAGGGGGCGAAAGACAAATACCATATGATGTCACCTATAAGTGGAACCTAACCAACAATACAAAGATGCAAAGAAAATAAGACCAGCAACGCTGAAAGGAAAAGAAACCAACCGAGACAAGAGGGAAGGGGGCGGGAGGCGGGGAAAAGGAAGGGAAAGGGAAAGTCAAGGAACATATAGCAAGAACTCATGGACAAAACCAAAGAGGAAGAGTTGAGGAAGGGAGGGAGAGAGGGAGGGAGGGGGCAAGGGAAAGTGGTGGGCGGTAGGCAGAGACAAATGTATTTGAAAAAATAAAGAAAAAAAAGAAAAAAAAAACCCAAAATATTCTTGAAAATTATGAGGCACCCTCATAATATTTAGAGAAGGGAGAATATTACTGAAAGTCATAATTATGATTCAAAACCTGTATCTAAGTTACCCTTTTATTTTTAGAGAATATTTCATTCTTTCTACTATTTATTTTCTTTTTTATATTTTATAATTTTTTACTTCTTTGAACGGAAGTTTTACAGGCCTTCAAACAATATGTATTTTCTAAAATCATGTTTTTAGCCCAAGTTACCCAACATTTTTTCACAACTACTAACAATCTTCTACATTCCTTTTCGCTGGTTTAGGAGTCAAGGGGTATGACAGTGAGTAGGATAAAATGAAGGAAAGGGCAGCACGAGTTCTACCCACCAAATTAGAAGTAACAAATAGTATTTAAAAAACTAAATGTAATGATTTTTTTCCTCTTGCAGATGCACAGAACCAAAGCAGCAGAGGTCTGCCTCATTTTCTTCCTGGAGCTTCAGACTCGGACCATGACCGACATGTCTCACCTTCCAATCCAGAGAGCCAAGTGTGGCATTTAGGTCACCCTCCACCAGGCAGTCTCCCTCCTGGTCTGGAATATTTAAGCCAGGTGTTTTTATTTTTCTATTACTATGAATGTTTCTCCTTAAAATGAATACAAACTTGGTTTCTTGCTTTTAAACCAAGGTTGAAGGACTTCAATAACCTACTGAAGTGAGAAAAGCATTATAAACCATGAAATTAATTTTTTTTCTTTTATTTATTTCTATTTTGGGGGAAGAAATTTGTTTACTTTTATTACCACTTCTAGTTTCTTTGACAGAGTAATAAGACTAAACATTTTCAATTGAGCTATTTAGCATGTTTACCCTTCTTCTCATTGCTCAAAGTGTCAGCAAATTTATCCTCAAAAAACATTTAATATGTATATCTAACATCGACAGCTGTTTAATTAAAGAATATTTATTGAGCACTTGCTAAAATCAAACCATATAAAAAACATATAACCTAGTCCCTTTCACTCAAACATTCTGTGACCTAATAGACAAGACAAAAAAAATGTTGGCAAAAAGTGCCAGGCTGTTTACCAAAGCCAAATAACACACAACTGTAATGTGTGGTGTATAGAAGAGAAAAAGGTTGTTATACTGAGCAAGAAGCTTCTGTAATGAGCTGAGAGTTTGTCTTCAATTGAATCTCAGGTGATGGATGCAAATCCAAGGGAACGGAAACTACCAAGTTGATAATATTGCCTTTGACACTGTTGTATCTCCAGGTTAATTTGCTTGAAAAATCATATTATTATTAGTTATAGTCACTAGTTATCATTGGAAGATAAGCAGTGATTTAACTTCATAATAATTCAATCAAGATATACCATCTGAATTATATGACATGTGAATAGCAATTGTATTTATATATTTTATATATATATATATATATAATTGTTGCCTTGGTATTTTATCCTACAAAAGATTGGAAATACACTTACACTAATATTGAGATGTCAGCACATCTGCTGCAATTTTCAGCTTGTTTGGCATTCTTTCAAACTATAAAGTCTATCTCCTTTATCAAAATCAAATCTCTGTGTTAATTCCCTTAAGGTACAAGAGATTTCTGTTATGCCTGATAGGGTTTAAGCTGCATGCAGCATATGTTCCTGGGAAAATGTTTATAATTGCAGATGCCTTCTCCAGAAACCCACTGGCAGACAAATGTACTTTAGAGACTGGGGAGCTCAGGGAGATATGTAAAAGAGCTGGGAAAGCTAACCCACCATCTTCCATCTGCAGAAAGGATCAGCTGTAATAGCTGACTAGAGTTGATTAACTGCTGCAAGCTGTTTGGGAACGTTGTCAGACAAGGTTTTGCCAAGGATAAGAGTGATATACCAGTGCCAGAGGGCTGAGGTTTGATGATCACATATGGTCATCACATATTCTTCTTCCATCCATGAATGATGACACACCCGGAGCCAGATGCTTGACATGAATACATTTTCTTTCATAGTCAATAAATAGAGATATGAACTCATCGGCTTCAGTTCTAAAACAAAGTCAATTTTCCAAAAATATTCCTATGGTGATATTTTACAGAAAACAAAAATATGTCACAAATTGGTGAATATTTTACTTCAAAGGTAAAGATAATTTATTCACTTTATTCTAAAAGAACATATTTGTTTTAAAGTACTGTGTGTATAACGGGATGAATGTTATTTTAAAATTTCATTTTAAAAGCTTTATATACCACAAGTCTGTAAGAGACATCTATAGAATCAATTCTTATGCATTAACTTTTATCTAAAAACCATAAGAATTAAGTAAAATTATGAACTTTTGGAAATAACACATTCTTCTATAAAAAGAAAAAAATACACAAAGTTCTCTAAATTGAAAAAAAGTAAAATTTTAAAGAATCACTTATTCTCTTTTAATCAAGTCCACCCAAAAATATTGTAAATCATTTTTTCCATTAACAATTTATAAATATATTCCCGTGTGTGTGCGTGCACGCGCGTGAGCGTATAAAGAGAGCGAGCGAGCTAAGGTTAAATCTAAGAATAAAATTAATAGCTTCTTTTTCCAGATTAGATTAACACAGTCATAATAGTCAATAATATTTTATTCTACAAGTGCCAAATTATAATTTAGTTATCTATAGGTAAGAGAAATACATTAAAGTCTAAAAAGTATGTAAATATTCCATTTATTTTGAAGTTCAGCTGACCCTTGAACAACTCATAGGTTACAGACACTGACCCCTTGCACAGAAAAAATTCATATATAAATTTTGACTCCCCCAAATATACCCTACTATTGAATGGAAGCCTTACTGATAACATATTCAATTAACACAAATTTCGTATGTTATATGTACTAAGTACTGTATTCTTACAATAAAGTAAGCTAGAGAAAAAGAAATGTTACTAAGAAAGTCATAAAAAGGAAAAAATATATTTACAGTATTTATTGAAAAAAAATCTGCATATAAGTGGACCTGCACAATCCAAATTTGGGTTGTTGAAGAGTCAACAATACCTATATTAAATGTAATTACTGATATCTACAAACCTGATACATTATGCATAAGAAGTTATTATTAAGCTGTATATCCAAGGCTGTCATTAGCTATCCATTCTATAGCATTCATACTTTAGGGGTGCTTTAGTTGCCCTGACACCTAAATATATGATTTGAAGTTTAAAGTTTAAACTTTCCAACAATTCCCAGTTCATTAATTAATAGCAAAGGATGGAAAAGGCCCATTTACACCATGGTTTATAGGTGGCGTAAGACAAAAAGGAAACTACAACCAAAAACAAGACCTTCAAGTGCAGAAGGTTTTCTCACAGAGATAGATCAAATCCAATCAAATGTTATTACAGAGGATAGGGTATTCACCTATATAAGGATACAGAAAATAAGGAAGAAAGGTATTTAAAGGCCCTGTAGTCACTTAAGAATTGTTTCTCCCAGTTTCTAAGATTAGCTTAGTGATGCCAGTACAAGAGAGTGGAAAGCATATCAAAATTGGCTGTAGTACAGCCTGAATTCAAATCCCAGCGCAACCACTTACAGACTGCAGTTCTTGGGAAAACTATTTAATCTCTCTGGGATTGTTGTCTCACACGTAAAACATAGTGGTATCTATCTTTCTGAGTTCTTGTGAGAATTAAATCAGACACTATGTCAAAATATCTAGCATAGTGACTATCTCAGTATAGTCATTAAATAAACAACTGTCATTAATATATATTACAGAGGTATAATTTCCCTTTCCATTGTAGAATGGGTCTTAACTGTTATCCCTTTAATTTCAAGACTAAGACTTGATCCATGACACTAATATTTAAAGGCCCTAAACTTAAACCTTAGTCTTGGCCCTATAGTTCTCCCTGTCCCTAGGTTACTTCTACGTAGAGCCACTGCTGAATCCTTATGGATGGCTTTAATGAGGCTTATGTCTTCTCTTCCCAAAGCCCTCAAATTCTCTCAAAGGAAGAGACCAGAACTAACAACAATACAGTACAAAAAACCTGATTTTAATTTTTTATAAAATTTAGCGGGATGGCATTGGTTACTAAAATTATATAGGTTTCAAGTGTACAATTCTATGATATATCATCTGTATATTGTTTTGTATACCCACCACCCAAAGTCAAATTTCATTCCATCACCATAGAGTCCACCCCCTCGACCCTTTACTATTGCCCGAAACTTCTCCCTTCTGGTATGCACCATACTTAGTCTGTGTCTATGAATTTTTGTTTGTTTGTGTTATTTGTTCATTTGTGCTTTCAGTTTTATATCTCACATGATTGAAACCATATGGTTCTTAACTTTTTCCAAGTATTAACCTTAGCATGCTATTCTAAAGATACATCCATGTTGTCACAAACATGGCAGTATTTCATCTTATGACAGAGTCGTATTCTTTATGAATCATCTGCTGAGGGACAATTCACTTTCCATGTCATGGCTACCATGAATAATGCTTCAATGAACATAAGGATGCATATATCTTTTCAAACTTTTGGGATAGATATCCAGAAGAGAGGTTGCTGGGTAATATGATAATTCTATTCTTAATTTTTTAAGGAACACCCATACCATTGTCCATAATGAATATACCAGTTTATATTCTCACCAGCAGTGAATTACTGTTCCTTTATCTCCACAACCTCTCCAACACCTGTTATTATCTGTCTCTTTGATAATAACCATTCTAACAGGTGTGATGTGGTATTTCATTGTAGTTTTTATTTGTATTTTCCCTAGTAGCTAGTGAAGTTGAGAATCTTTTCATATAGTTATTGGCCATTTGTATGTCTTCCTGTGAGAAGTATCTGTTCAGGTCCTCTGCCCATTTTTAAAAAATATGGAGTGCTTCACAAATTTGCATGTCATTTTTGCATATTTTTTTTGCAAATATTTATGCATATTGTTGAGTTGTCGGAGTTCTTTATTTATTTTAGATATTAACCCCTTGTTGGAGTTATTTGCAAATAACTTCTCCCATTTGGTTGGTTCTAATTTAAAAACAATGCCATAATTGTTAAAGTAGGTTTTATAATATCTTAAATCATAAATTATTTTTGGAAAATATATTTTGTGAATCTTAAGAAGAGGCCACATGCTCACTTTTATCAATAACAACATTTGGATAAAGGAATGATATTAGTTTTACCTCCACTTCAGTATATGCAAGGAGAATGAAGGAAATAATATAACTTTCAATTTTCTGTGTTTGTCATAGCCAATCAATGCCAAATATTAGTAATGACAGTTACATGTGAGTTTATTAATGTGGAAAGATAATAAAGAAAATTTAAAGGGAAAATAGAAAATTAAATACTAGAAATGACAATGACCAGCATTATACTATGCTCATGACTTCGAGTACTGAATGTCATAGTTAAGGTATACACAAACAAAATCCATTCTAAAAACATATTTTAAAATTTTCTTTAAGAACAGTCTGTATTGCCTACTTTTATACTTGTTTCACAATTGTATAGATACTTTATTTACTGTAAATTAACTTCATTTCTAATTATATAAGGCAAATTTTACCATGCATTTAGTGGCATAACTCTCATTCTGCTTATATTAATATTTTGTCAACATCAGCAAGATTTTTTTCCTAGTCCAGAGGAAGGTATGAATGAGAAAATTTTCCAGAGTATGCTCTTTCAGCTGTCACAAAGACATATCCTCACTGTGCAGCATGAGCTGCAGCTTAACAAGAGAGTCAAGTTAGGTGGAGTTGTGAGAGGCCAGACATTCAGATCCTTGTTGCTTTGTTTCATTTCTTTAAAATAAAAAAAAGGGAGGGGGAGTAGACATTTAAAACCTCACTGGTATTATTGTTCAGAGATTGTTTAAAAGAATGTTCTCAAAGTATAGTTTCCAACAGCTACCCTTTTATTCCATTAACACAGAAAGAGCACAGAGTTAACGACAGTTTCCATTTATATTTTGGGCAATCCTGCTTGGAACTTTCGGGGTTCTTGTTATATTTTACTTTCATATTAATAAAAAACATTTTGCTTTCTTTTTCATTATAAAATGTGAACTGTATTCAACTGTTTTGATAACAGAGAATACAAAGATCACCTTATTTCATATAGTCTAGTAAACAACTTAATAATATCTCCAAAAATGGTCAGAGTTGTGATGTAATACTTTTTATTTCCTTTATGTCATCCTTTAACAGTTAGACCTCATAATTATACACCAGCAGGTGGAGCTTCTTGGAAGTAAGTATATTTTATTCTTTACTTATTAAAACTGTTGATAATATTTTAGGTTTCAGAAGTTTCTTTCCATTTAAATATTTTATAAAGAATCAAGTTAAATTTTTAGAATAGGTTTAGGTTGAAAATAGCACTATTTTATTTTATTGTTTTATAATAAACATTGTAAGTAAAATTATTAGTCTAACATAAATAAACCTAAAGGCATAAAACTCTCCAAACCTTTGGTGATATTGCCATTAGGAATCTAACATCATTTTTAATCTTAAACTAATAAAAAAAAGTGATGATTTGCATGGTTGCTAATACTTTACATTTTCTTAATAATTCCTGAAATGAAATTCAAGTTTGAGACTAAATTTTAAAACAAGTTTAAACATCAAAACAAGTAGGACTAATTGAATGCAAATTACTTGAATATTTTTTGTTCTTAATATACCATATTATTTCTAAAATATGTCAAAATTGAAATAGCAGGATAGCATGTAGCTCTAGGTATATTACCAGATAGATATTTTAAGCAAAATTCTTACTATCATGTTAGTCGTCCCAATAAATTTCATAACAATGACATGATTATTATTTGAGTATCATATTATTCTTTATAGGATAGCTTTTTCAGTTGAAAAGTGGTATTGCATATTTCCAAGTAGATCAGGTATCTAGAATCAGCATTTGTTAAATGCACAGCTTTGCTCTCAGAGTTTACTTCAATTTCCATAGAGAAGTCCTCAAATTTTAGAACACAGAAGTAGATGTGTGAAGAAGATACCATATTCTTAATAGTTAATGTCACTGTTTTTTAGTAACATTACACTTTTTATTTGTTTAAAGTTATGATACTAAGCGCTAGCATTTCTTTGAAGAATTTTCTTTTTTGCCCCATCAGTGATACTTGGCACTGAGACCTCAAACAAGTACGAGATTAAAAACAGCTTGGGACAAAGAATATACTTTGCCGTAGAGGAAAGCATCTGCTTCAATCGGACTTTCTGTTCCACACTGCGATCTTGCACTCTGAGGATCACAGATAACTCGGGTCGAGAGGTGATCACAGTAAACAGGCCCTTGAGGTGTAACAGCTGCTGGTGCCCTTGCTACCTGCAAGAGGTCAGTCATTGGCTCTGGTGTGCTTTTTTCTCCTACTTTTAAAAAGCCTAGCAATTATTTCTTTAATAAATGGCATTCACCTGGAGCTATGGGGCAATTAACATTTCAATTGTTTGAATTAATAGTTTCTCCTTTAGAATCAGAATAGCTTGAGGATTTGGTAATTCACTGATTTTTTTTTCCTTTCCAACAACAACAAAAATAAAGATAGCAGCTTCTATGTTCTTAATTGGTGAAGACAGCTCATGCACCATGTAAATGAGACACATCTTCCTGAATCTTGGTATTAGCATGTAATTGTAATATCTGAGTTTCACCATTAAGCAAATCTACCCTTTGTCCCTTTGTCTCAACTGTAGCAAAGTTGAGAAAGTGCTAAGTGATGATACTGAACTCTTCCAAGATATTCTCTCTTGGTTAGATAATGTTGTTTAGTACAGAATGTCCATTGTATTCACTCATTTATGACATACATCAAGGTTTGGAAAAGATAATGTTATTGTTCTAGAGGGAATCATTCAATTATTTTATTTTAATATATAATAGATTCTGTTACTCTTTAATGGACCTGTAATAACAACTTTCGTTGGCATAATGCAGGTGATAAATAATGTTTACTTATTTTGATGTTTTTAATATCATGATATCTCAATGAGCTAGAAAGAACAGGTTTTATTACCCACATTTTGCAGTTGAGGAAACAGGCTAGAGCGTGGAGGTGACTTACCTATGATTGCATATCTAGGAAATATAAATGGAGCTCAGTCCAAGTGTCTTTATTGAAGCGCAAGTTGCTCTATGAAGGGCCTGTGTTCAAGTGTTCTAGAGTAATGGAAATAATATTAATGGAAGGAGGATAATTAGGGAAGTTTATTCACCAAATATTTATGGCTAATCACTTGGCTTTAGTAATAAGATAGCTGAGGTGTTCATACATGGAGCCCAAGAATTTCTATCCTCCTACCGAGAATATTTAAGAGCTAATATGCTCCAACATGGTATAGTCAGTATAATCACAGAATATATGCCCATTTGAATATTTCTGATAATTGGTGTTTTATTTTATAGTAGCCAGTATCACATAAATTAATCATAAGATATATCCTGATACCTATTAATAATTTTTAAAAATTGGTCACAATGAAACCAATAATTCTAAAAGTGATCCCAGAACAATTCTATATAATTCTAAGGAGTCTTGTTGAAACTACTATAGACATACACACAAGACTATGAATTTAATAAATAAGGCAAATGAGATCTGATGATGGTTAATTTGATTTAAAAGCCAACAATTTTCATTTTGTGCACCCACTTCCAGCTCTTTTACAAAGGACTGATTTGGCTACATAAATCTATTGAAATACAATATGATGAAAAGTAAAGAAACTAGAATGAAGGATAATCAGTAAAATACTAAAGTTTGAAATGAGATTTCTAATCTTTAACACTTTGGAAGAAATTAAGCTGTGATTATATTGGTGTGTAATAATTATAACTCTGCAGAAGCATTTGCTCTTAAGTGAACACAGAAAAGCCAGAAGTTGACAATCTGAAGAGAAAAAAAAAATTTATGCATACTTAATGGTTGATAAGTGAAGATTAAAAATAGATGTGTGTTGTAGCAATAACTGAACAAGAGTCAATATTAGGTCCCTCACGTGAAACAGCTTCCCATGCTTGATCAACTGTTGTACTTGGAACAAAAATGGAAAAGAATCAGAAGACAGCTCTGGGAAAGGTTCTCTTTAGGGAAGTAAGATCAAAGACTTGTGCTTTTAATGAATAGTGCTAAACTTTTATCTATACAGTGAATTTCTTAGTTTCTATAAAGTATGAAAGAAATACTACATTGCTTCCTTAGATGCAGATATTTAAAATGATTTGTAGAATATAAAAATAATTTCATAAAAGTATATTTTAGAAGTAAACTTACATTATAATAAAATTAAAATATAGTAACCTTAGAAAATCTTATTTTATTTTTATCTCTTCTTACAGTTAGAAATCCAAGCCCCTCCTGGTACTACAGTTGGTTATGTTGCACAGAAGTGGGACCCCTTTCTGCCCAAATTCACAATCCAAAATGCAGACAGAGAAGATATTTTGAAAATTGTTGGTCCTTGTGCAATATGTGGCTGTTTTGGCGATGTGGATTTTGAGGTATGATTGACAAAATGAAGGAAGTTTTCACCTAGGTCCTGATTTTTTGCAACATAATTCAATTTTTTAAAATGTTCAAATCATAAAAAAAAATCTCTGGAATAAATATATTATTATAAATATAGAAATATGTTATTAGAAAATAATATATTTATGAATAATATAATAAGCCAATATTGTACATGTTGATAGTAACTCATAATTTCAGAAATACTAAGTCCAAGAGTTTTTTTAACATACTATAAAAAGTTGATTTATGTGGAACTATATAGCACCATGGTCTAAAACAAATATAGTTTAGAATCACATAAATTACATCTTCTTCCTTTTACTCCTGGTGTTTATGTTCTCTAGTTCAAATCTCATCTCAGAAGCATATTCCATTAAAATATCACTAATTTAAAAGTCATGTTTATAACACTTGATAACTTTGTTTTATAAAACAATCTCTCACATAAATGTATTTGTGTAAATTGAATGTTAAAAAACAATAGATATTTTCAAATTTAATCTGTATCAGTATGAACTATCTTAACAGCTTCTCCTAGAAGTACATCTTAGGCAGAGGAGATGGTCTGATTTAAATTGTATATTTACTTTTTATCCATTCATTCATGTACATCCACCTAGGACATTCAGTTTGTAGAACTTTAGGGAACACCATTCCCATAGAATACAATGCAAATTTTTCAAAATGAGCTATCCTAACTCCACCCCACTTCAGGAGGACTTGGCATGGTTCTCCTAAGAGTGAAGTATAAAAATGCGCCCTATAATCAAGGAGAACTTAGACATAAGAGTTTTAGTAGTCCTGGTATAAGGATGTCCTAAGTAACTTTCTCTATTTTTTATCTTCTACTGATATACCAAAAGTGAAAGTTTATACTGAATCACTTTCAGCCTTTGAATGGCAAACAGCACAAGCAAATAAATAACTGATAAAGTTTACTTGTGGGCTCTTTCTAGCTGAGGAAGATAACAGATAATTTTTGTTAGGTCAAATTAGCCTAAATTTCCTGTGTGATGTATTAGGGCTTTTTTAGTGCAAAAATAGGAGTTATGTTTGGTTATAAAGGAATGATTTAGTAAATGTCTAAGTATAATGTAAAAATGAGATTAAGATGGTTAATGATATTTAAATGTGTTTGTAATTATAAAATCTTAGCAGCAAATTTTAAGTTAACAAATTATACCTAGAAGTGAAGCTAATTCCTTGTAAAACCTTTCTCAAACATATTTTTTCTTTTCTTTCTTTTTTTACATTAATACCGCTATCACTGTCCCCTATTTCCCCCCTTCGCCCACTTCCACCCAGTACCCACCCCCCACCTCAGCCATTGTTGTCTGTGTTCACGGGTGCTCTACATAAATGCATATATATTCTTTGGCTAAACTCTTCCAGTCCCCCCGACTCCCCTCCCCTCTGAGATTTCTCAGTCTGTTCCATGTATTCATGCCTCTGCCTTTATTTTGTCCATCAGTTTATTTTGTTCATTTTAAAATCTGGACCTCTAGTAAAGGAATTACCTTCCCAGTTAGATCACATAACTGAGACTATGTACCTGCTGCCATCTTGTGGTCATCTGGTCTTAATTATTTATTGCTATTATGTTCTCCATCTGTATATTTAAAAAATTATGATGGATTAGAAAACTGTCATAAAAGATTCCTGAAGAATGAACTGCAAAGTTAAATCTACAGACTTGTACTTATATAAAGGAATGAACATCACATTGTCATAGAGGTGATTAATGAAATAATTTATCTCCATGAAGAAGTGTAAAACCATCTGCATCTCCTTCAAATTTAATACCTCTTATTTTCTTTTTAAAGGTGAAGACAATTGATGAAAAGCTTACAATTGGGAAGATTTCAAAATACTGGTCTGGGTTTGTAAACAACGTTTTCACCAACGCTGACAACTTTGGCATCCACGTTCCTGCTGATTTAGATGTGACTGTCAAAGCAGCGATGATCGGTGCTTGCTTTCTCTTTGTAAGAATGTAACTGATTTATTTTTCTCCTTTTCAATGACCAATTACAAACACACAGCATTTACCCCAAAGAATAACATTTGTGTAGAAGCCTCCTTTAGGACCAACATTCTTCAGGGGTAAGGAGTCAGGAGACTGCATTTCTGTCAGGAAGCCCCCTTCTCATCATTTCATCAAAACCTGAGTTTCCCTTCTCTTTTAACTTCAATTTAGGTTTTTGGTGTAGTTTCACATTCACTGAAAAGTGTGTAGATATAACAATCCCAATTATTTATCCCGGATAAAGTTTGGGACAGTTTCATTGCTTATCAATGAGCTAGGTGATGTTCAGAACATGAAAGGTGCCATTTTCTTGACCTTCTGATATGTACATAGATACAGGAGATGACAGAGAACATTCCAGTTTCCATATTACAAAGACATTATATCTTTATCCATTCTTTCCAAATTCCAACTTGATTAAGAACATTTTCTTCTTTGGTGTGGAGGCTGCTGATAGAAAAACAGAAGTCTAATAATATCTGTGCCAAAGGGTTGGCTGTCTCCTGTCCTATTGTCCCCTCCAGTATCTCGTTCACTGCCCAGCATTTTCAGTGCACTCACAAAAATTCATGGAACTTAAAAATTACCCTACATTCTACCTCTCATATTTTCTTGTTCTTCACGGTTTTAGGATCCTAAATCTTATGGTTATATTAATGTGCGCTTCTAGGGGGAAAATAACAGGCCCTATTTACTCAGCCTCTCGTAACACACTTGGGAGATATATTAACTAAAAATAATTCCCTGGTGACATCAATGATGGATACTTAAGAGTTTAATACAGAAAAACATAATTACATATATATGAGAGAAAGAGGGATTACTTCTGAAGTTTAAAAGGAATTTTTATTGGTTCCTTATGGTTGGTAGAAGGCTAGGTTTTCGGCCTTGCTAAGTAGTCACTCACCCTCGATTCCCATTATCATCTACAGATATAATAAATTCCAGTCATTCTTGTCTGTCACCTACCATTTCTTTCATTCCCTGTTCTCTCTTCACTTGACAAGGCTGTTAATTTGCCAGTTCCTGCTCACTTTTTCCATTTTGATCATTCTGCACTTCAACACCAATTCCCCCAAATACATACATGCACACACATGTGTGCGTACACACACACACACACACACACACCCACACACACACACCCTCTTCCGCAAACTTTAATTTGGCCATTTTGATAATCCCTGTACTTAATGTTTATATTAAATAAGAGATCATCTTTAATCTGCCTCATCCACTTCTTTTATGTAAAAGGCTGATGGCGATTATCTACTGTTGGCAGTTCCCCACACTGTAAATTGGAGAAGCACTGGTCTGGATTAATACCCCAATCACCTGAAAGATAACTTTTAACTCCAGAGTCTGAAGATATCTAATGACACCCATCCATTGCTTTTTTTTTCATTTTTACCACAATATTATAAAATATTTGTGCTTTTTGCTAACATATCTTTTAAAACAATTTCTCACATGTATTACCAATATAAATTACTGACATCTATAAATAAATTGATAGGAAGGATTATCTTTTTTAATTGTTAAATACTGTCACCACTTTATTACCTTGTTTTAAGAGACTTTAAAAAGCTGCTAGCGTGAGGACATTCCCTGATCCAAACAGCAAAATTCATAAGTACGTCTAACTTTTGTCCTCCTGTGGTTCAAGCCTACCACTTCACATCCCCAGCTCTAACCTCTTGCCTCCCGAGGGCCCTCTGGTATAGTTGTCAGTACTTCCCTAGATGACTATCAAGTTACTGATCACAGAGTCCATGATGATATATCTAATTCTTGTTCAAAGATCAGTGTCTATTTCAGCTTCCTACACTGACCCAGAATGTCCTACAATCTAATTCTGCAAAGTCTAGATCACTCAAATTTTGACCGATGACACTATGCTGATTCAGATAAGGCTTTCAATTACTTGTGCTCTGAAAATCAGACACACAAGTGTCATAAAACTTACAATTTTAAAAAAATTTTCCTCCTACTGATAAATGGCATGTTGCTGGAGCACCATAAGGAAAGATAACTGCTTTATGTAATCAAAGCTTACATGTGATAATCTTGATCTTAAATTGTTGCCTTTTTGTAAATTCACTTACATTCATTTTACTTCTTTGTAGGATTTTATGTTCTTTGAACATTCACTGGCTGGATTATAACAAGCAAGATGACAAAAAAAATAAAATATGCAGGAAATATTTAAGTAAGTAAAAGGCAACTTTAAATGATTTCTTTTCCTTGAAGATGTTGACATTTGATGCTAATTCTTTTTCATTTTCTTCTAGAAACCCTTGGGCTTTGGATTTCATTTCTGAATGGTTTGAGTATTTACTCATTTGTAACAAAATGTTATTACATTTAATAAAGCATAATGCAATTAAGTAGTTATTTTGGTTGTGAATGCATGAGAGCTAAAAAAACAAGATTACTGTCCCTAGCACAAGGTTACTTTGAGAGATTACCATTCTTCCTCTTCATTCTTTTGAAGTTATTGCATGGATAAGCATGAAAGATGACAACTAAGGCTTGCAGCATCACTGTTGAAAATTCAATGTTTAGAGAGTACTTTGAAGTTTTTCTGGTACCAAAGCTGGTTACTAATCAGAAGAACTGGATTTCTAAAATACCCTTTCATAAGTAGTCTTTTTTAACTTTATTTATTAATCTTTTATTGTAGCAAGACATTTTTACTCTGTATTGGAAAAGCTAAAAATTGGTTACATAGTATGTTTAAAGATGAGAAGGAAGATAGAGGAAATCAATTAACTGGTATCGCCCGCACTTGGGAGCAAGGTCATCAGGGGCGGGAACTCAAGTCCTATGACTAATAGGCATAACCTGTGTGCTAGTCCTGTCTCTCTCAACTTACCATGTAGTCTTTCAGAACCTCCTCAGGTCTCCCATTTGCTACTTTGCAGAGCCATGTTGATGTTTAAGAGGAGCAGTGTTTCCTCCATTTCCCCTTTATCTATTTTAACTAAACACTTTAGTTAACTAACACTTTAGTTAAAATAGATAAAGTGTGTGTGATTTATGGTCATTTATAACAAGCTGAAGGAGATGGTGTTTTTTAAAGCTGATGCATGTTTACTAATAAAACAGAGGAAAAAAAACCTAACACTTTTGAGGGCTTATTATACGCCAGGCACTATGTTTCATATAAATTCCTGGTGGGGTGACAAAATGACACAGAAACAAAGGAAAATCAGGAGGTATGTGGAAGACCTGCTCATGTTCCAAATGTTCTTCCCAAAGATGATGGTCTTTTCATACCTCCTTCTTGTCTTTTACTTTTGAGTTCTAAAATGAAACATTTTTGAAACTGATGTCATAATAGCAGCAATTGAGGCTTTCGCAGTGTGGCACAAGTAGGAGAAAGAAAATACCATTTATAATGGCTGCATTTTAATATGACAAATTCTCTTGGATTTTTAAAAAGTAAGTGAACCCTAAAACTAGTGAAAAGAGCTACTTAACACCTAAACATAAAGAGACTCCCTAAAGAGAAAAATCCTTCTGAGAATGTAACACGCATTTTCAAGTTGGCTGTTTTAAATAAAAACTTACTGTGGTACTTTGCTCCCAAATTGGCACACTACAACAAACCCATTCTCCCCTTCCTCAGTAAAGGTGAAATTGACCTTTATATGTCTTTTATGTTCTACTTTTCCCTGTCTTACCAAACGTGAGCCCATGAGACACTGGAGAGCCTTTCACTTTTCAGTGACATTTTCAAGGAAAAGAATTCAGCTCTAGAATGAGATGGGCCCCCTGTGCACCAGTCCCTCCCTTGGCCCCACTACACTCTCAGAACACAAGGTGTTCTCCATTCACGCTGAGGTGTACTGAGAAGGCTTGAGCACATTTAAATGCCTCACATTCATTCATTGTTTTATTAATTTAATATTTATTGACTCCCTTCTATATGCCAAAAATATAGTTCCCCCTCTCATGGAACTTGCAGTTTAGTTGAGATAACAATTAATTCAATAATCACACAAACAAAAATTAAATTTCAAACATGAGAAGTATTTACAGGAAATAGACAAAGGTCTAAGTAAGGTAGAGATATTTGACTTGGTCAGGTAATGAGGGAGTGATGGGAATTTAATAGATGAAGAAGAGGCAGGAGTGGGAGGAAGAATGTTTTAGGCTGAACATTCCCTGCCAAGAGCACAGCACAAAATTGACAAATTTGTGAAAGTTCTCTGATGGGAAAAAAGGAGACATGGCAATCTCAAGTGACTTGGAGAAGGCCAGCGATCAAAGTACTGACGGTGAGGTACAGGGTGGTACGAGGTGAGGACAAATGGGGCCTGCAGGCCATGTTAAAGATTTTAGCAAAGTTTGTATGGAGAGAGTTGACTGACTAAAGATAAGATTGGTGAAAGGTCTGGAGAGGATGCTCATGGACCAATTAGGAGGGTATAAAGTTGTTTAGGTGACAACTAATGGCGGCTTAGATTAATGTGTCACTCATACAAAGGGAGAGAAGTGAGCAAATTCAAGATTTTTATTTAGGAGGTAAAATCACCAGTACTTGAGGCTAAGTTGAAAGTGGAGATTTGAGGGGAAAAAGGGATTTCTGGCCTATCCCATTTACTGACAGAACATTAGAAGAGGATCTGGTTCAGGGCTAAAGGGCATGGATTCAGTTTTAAACATAATGAATTTGTGATGCCTTTAACTCTTCCAAATAGGCAGCTGGAAATCTTTTCATCTAGTGTACTTCTGAAGAGAGGGACAAGTTTATGAGAACTATATAAACCCACAGGAATCTGAACATCTGAATAATTGCTGGTTTACTTCACAGATGTCCCTAACAAATATTTTTAACATTGCATGGACAATGAATTCATTCATTCATTAACTAATGTTTTATGATATTACTTCCATGTATTAGGCACTGTTTCAGGCAGTGGGGGTATTAGGCCTAGTGGCAATTATTCCTACTCTGAAGACTCATTCAATAAATATTTCTTTTTTGTGAAGTTCATATTAGGTACTAGGCGCCTATGTCAAACATTAAGTTCTAACAGTGAACAAAGCAACAGGTTTTGACCTTATCTATGGAAACATTACCAGAGTAAAAGTGTGGCAGACTCTCTGACTCAAGAAATCTGTTCACTGGACAGAAGCTATTGTTGATTTTCTAATTTTCTGAAGTTGATTGCAGGGGATGTTAATAGATATTGACTAGAAGTGTGTGCACTTTTATAATAAATCACTGGTTGATTAAACCCATTTAATACTGGGTTGTGATTATTACTCATTGTTATAATGGAAAACAATCAACTCTTTCTTAGGAACATGAGAACTTTGTATTCCCAAAGGTATAAAGAAAAGTATTTCAGGATAAAGAAATTGAAAGAAATGGAGATGCTGTTACATTTGTGCAGAGAAAAGGAAAAAGCACAGCAATTTATAACAATATTTGGGAAAGGCAAATGGGAAAAAAAGTGTGAGGGCTTTGAATCAGGCGCCTGACAGGAAGTTTGAGAATCATGAAGGCCAAGCCAGTGGAGTATAATAAACAAGAGGAAATGAGGTATGAATTACAGTAGGAAAAGTGTCCAGGGGCTACATCATATATAGTCTTGCAAAGCAAGATGGGAGAAGAAATTGACAAAACCCGGCCCTTGATTGAATGTGGGGTGTACAAGATATTAATGACTTGAGTTGCAGTTTCTCTTGTAAGAAACTGAAGGAATGGCCATGGCACTCACCAAAATAGGTGCAATCCAGTGCTATAGTGGCTTAATAAAAGAATGTACATTAAGTCACAAAAAGAGATAGCATTCAATATATTTAGGGTGGAAGATTAGAACCCACAGAGAGTAGACAACACATGAGACGAGTGTGTGTTCCCTAGGCCAGATGGAGTCAAAGCCAGGAAACGTATGACTGGGAGAACATTCCCTGCCAAGAGCGCAGCTCAAAAGCATGGAAGTGAATATCCTCATAGGTATCACCAAGAAGGAAGAAACCCCAGGGGTTCAGGATAATGCCTAATGAGTTTGGTCTCTCTTCTTTAGCAACGAGGCCATACTTTCCCACTCAGCTGTACCCAAGTGTCCTCCGAGTAGTTGCGCTAGATCATGATTCAAAGGATAGCTTCTCCTGGACATATATACTTTGTCTTTGTGCTTTGAAATTGACTTAGAAACTAGATTGAACTCAGTAACTGAGTCTGAGTAAACCAACAGGTACTGGCAAACAAACCAACCTTGAATATTCTTCCCTATCCCTAATATCCTAGATGAAAGAAACTGAAACTTGTTGGGTCAATCACCCATACTTTCCTCCAAAAGAGGATCAGTGATCTGAAGAATAAGAGTGAAGCCCAGGCAGCACATATGGCAGTTTATTAAAATTTGATTTATTTGAGTCCTAATTAGCATAGTATATACATTTACTTTAGATTTGTTGTCTTTTTCAAATACAGAGAAACCTAGGAAATAACATGAAATTTTAATACTTCACAATTTTCTCTTATTCTTATTTTTACAGTCCTGTCACATTTTCTTTGTTAAAATTAAGAAGAAAATAAATTATTTATAATATTTTGAGTTCTTAAGTTCAGCAATCTTTCTCTTTATATAAACTTTGATTTTTTTTTCTTTCTCCTAACATTTGTTTTAGAATCTGTGGATTACCTCAGAAAGAAAAAATAATTTTTAATAAAAATTCTTTAAATGCAAATGGTTTTGTCTATTTCTTATACCCGGACCTTTTTTTATCATTAAAATATGTGAGCATTGTACTTAGTAGCATGTATGATAGTTCGTGCAAATGTCCAGATGTTAAATGTTGGAATCACAGATTTCAGTAATTTAAATTAAATAACTTATGGAATCTATGGTTTATTTTAAACAGAAAAAATGAAGAAACTGAAATTGTGTTAGAGAAAAGGAGAAAAGCATATTAGTTGCTGGCGACTGCAACTGTATTTTATTAGCATCTTCCAAAAAAATGTATTATCAAAATAACTGAAATGCATTTCCTTGGCACTTTCTAGTTAATTATAAATATGTTTTTTAAGATCAATTACAATAGAAATAGAAGAAATTTCAAATATGAAAATTTGGTGTGTTGCCTGAAACAAGACTAACACATGATGAAATGATTAATTTCATGAATATATAAAAGCTAACATGAA